TATCATTATCATTGTTATCATCATTATTATCACCATTTGTTTCTGATATGAGTATCAGAAACAATATCATTATTATCATTATCAAAATAATAATTACTGTTATTATGATCATTGGTACCATCACCATTACTATCACTACCATTAATGTTATTGTTATTAATACCAATCTCATTATTGTTGTTGATTTGTCTTCATTGTTGTTAGAATATTTTTTATCTTTGTCATCACTATTATTAATAAGCTAGGCACATTACATGAATCATGCCTGTAAGAGAAAAATGATAATAACAGTAATAATAATAACGATAATTCGTAAGTGAATAGAGTAACTGATAAGTAATTATCTGCATTTAATCAACCTCATTATAAGGTGAACAAATAAAGTCTTTGTGTATATACATGAACAAGAAACTAATAACAGTAGACGCTCAGTTTCATTAGTCAGATAGTGAATTTTATTTCATTTCTTTACAGATACGAATGTGATCCTCTCCTGAAAAATGGCGGGAAAACGTAGAGAAGGGAGAATGAGTGTAAAGAGAAAGTATATGTTTGTTAGTTGATCTCTCTTTCTCTATCTCTTTACGTTATATTTCTTTTTATTCCCTTTTTCTCTTCTCTTTCTCTTGTTTTCTCTCTGTCTCTTCAAGTACCTATGCCTGTTTTTATGTCTACAATAGGGCTATTTCACATAATCGTGATCATTACTAAGAGTATTTACTAATTATATAATGATCAGTAACATATATTTTTTTAATTTTCTAATTCACATATTTCTTTCTTGTATACCTTAAGAACTTTATCATTATCAAAGAGAGATTTTAAGGTTAACTAAATGGCAAAGACAATATGATAATTTGTCATTTCTTACAATAAAGACAAGACTATTCAAGACAAGACAGAGTATCGAATTCTTCGTAGTAATATTTTAAAAATGAATTTCCGAGTCATATCAATGGTATTTTATATGCAAATTAGACAAATAAGGAGTAATTTAATGTATAAGTTCAACTGCTATCGCTGCCGTTATTATTATTGACATCATAGTAATATAACTTTTATCACTGTGATATCTTAAGATTGTAATTGTACTCGCATCAACTTCTTAAAGAAATTTACTTTATTTCATAATTTGGTATATGTCTAACATCATATTTATTTTTTCATGATAAGTAAATATAAGTGTTATTCCATATAACTTTGTCTATAGTTGTTTTTCATTACGTAAAAAACTTAGTTTAATACCTCATTACTCTTTGCTACTGGCGTGATATCAGTAATGATAATACTATCATATATATATATATATATATATATATATATATATATATATATATATATATATATATACATATGTGTATGTATATAAATCGTTAACATTTCAAACATTTCTATGTAATAAGGAAGTCGTAATTCTATTATGATTTATTATCAAATTACTAAGAATTAAATGTTTTAATACTATCCCGAATTACAAAATGCTCTCATGTATTTCAGGAGTATTGCAGAAAATCATCTTATTAGAAATGACGGTTGCAATATAATCAACTTTCATCATATAATCAAAACCAGACAAATTAAGACAAGATAATTCGCTAACGACTGTATCGATTTTTTTCTTTCTCTCTCCTAAGAATTTCTATAAAATCACACACCTCGACTTTTGTATTCAGATTTCGTAAAACACACATCTTTTTGTATACAGTATATACATGTGTGTGTTGTAGGCGTGTTACATAAACATATCTTTTCATCAATGGAGACATTAATGTTCTTTTCTTCATATTTTAGCTAGTTTTGCGTTACAAAAGTGATCATTACAAAGAGCATTACATAGGCCTATTAGATGAGGTTTAATGATCAGTATCAGAACAACAGAATTCGTTATTGTATGCTTATCATTTGTATTTTCTCATTTACGTATTCCTTTCTTTATGCATTTTATTATCGTTATCAAAGAGATATTTTCAGGTTAATTAAATGACAAAAACAAATTAATAATTTTGTCATTTTTTATGATAAAGACAAGACTATTCAAGACAAGACAGAATATCGATTTTTCTTAACAAGAATTTTCTCATTTACATATTCTTTGCTTGTATACACTTAAAGACTTTATTATTATTATCAAAGGGAGATTTTCATAACTAAATGGCAAAGAAGAAATATTAATTTGTCATTTTCTTATAATAAAGACAAGAATATTCAAGACAAGACACTATCTGATTCTTCTTAATAATAATTTTCTCATCTATATATTCCTTTCTGGTATACACTTAAACACTTTATTATTATCATCAAAGATAGATTTTCAGGTTAACTAAATGGCAAAGAAGAAATATTAATTTGTCATTTTTTTATAATAAAGACAAGAATATTCAAGACAAGACACTATCTGATTCTACTTAATAATAATTTTCTCATTTATATATTCCTTTCTGGTATACACTTAAACACTTTATTATTATTATCAAAGATAGATTTTCAGGTTAACTAAATGACAAAGAAAAAATAATTTGTCATTTCTTACAATAAAGACAAGACTATTCAAGACAAGACAGTGTCGAATTCTTTTAAGTAATAATTTCTTTCAAATGTAAATTTCGAGTCAAATTAATGGTGTTTAATATGGAAATTAGATTGATAATTAGTAATATATTGTATATGTTCTATTATCGCTGCCGTTGATATTGTTGGTATCATAGTTATATTCTTGTTATTATTGTGATAGATTACTATTGTACTTCATAACAGAATAACTTCTTAGTTCTTCAAAATTTGACATATTTCTAACATCAAATCTAAGTCTTTGATTATAAGTATATAGTTATAAGGATTATGATAATATCGTTATCATTTCAGATATTCCTGTGCAATATTTCGTTATTTAAGTGTTATAAACTATTATCAGAGTGTTAAGAATGATATATTTTTTGATACTATCCCGAATTATAAAATGCTGTTGTGTTTTTTTGTTTTTTATTCGAATGAACTACAGAAATGTAGCTTATTAGAAATGACAGGTCTAATATGATCAACTGTCATCTTATCATCAAAACAAGACAAATTAAGACAAGATTAATCGAAAATGTAATTATATCGATTTTTTTTCTTTCGTCTAAGAATTCTAGTGAAGTTTTATATGTTCCTGCTTTTGTATTCAAACTTAATTAAACATACAGCTGTGTACACAGTATATGGGTGTTTGTTGATGACATGTTATATAAACCTCTATTGTTTTCAGAAGAGAAACGGATATAATGTTTATTTTTTTCTTTACAGCATATTAATGTAGTATTTTTTATTGAACAAATATATTGTAATATAACTTGATATCAAGAGAATGAGAGATGTACTGAGATGAAGCATGAATCTTAGCTTTGCTTTATTGAATAATCAAAACGAGACATTTCAAGACAAGACAATTATCGGTTTAGTATTTAAGCAGCTCATCGTTTTCTTATATTCAGAGAGAGAGAGAGAGAGACAGACAGACAGGCAGACAGACAGACAGACAGACAGACAGACAGAGACAGAGACAGAGCGACAAAGAGAGAGGGGGAGAGGGAGAGAGAGAGACAAACAGAGACAGAGAGACAAAGAGAGAGGGAGAGACAGAGAGAGAGAGACAGAGACAGAGACACAGAGAGAGAGAGAGAAACAGATAGACACTCAGACAAGCAGACAAATAAAGACTAATTAGAAGTAAAGGGAAGATAAGTACAAGGGTAGTTTATATTCGTGTATTCTGTCATTTTCACGTGCAAAACGGGTGCATATACGGATACCGTACCCATATACGCACTGTACGTGTACATATGCACATGTTTGAATGTTTTGTTTGTGCACAATATATATGTAATATTTTCAGTCTGGTAATTACATTATTCTGATTGTTATTATCATAAAACGACAGATTGTCACTATATTGTCCTTATCTTGCGGGTTAGATTCTTACAGATTTGGTTCAGATTTTAATCACGTTTTCGAAAATATAAGTTCTCTGTTCCTGTAATTGTTATAGAAAGCACCAGTCAATCATTTATTTATCGTGCAATTGTTGTTAAAATTTAATGATTTTTGAAATCTGTGAAATACTCTTAGAATGTATAAAAAAAAATGTGAGAGTAATTGGTGTTAAGATTTGTTTCTGAAATCTGTGAAATACTCTTAGAATCTAAAAAAAAATGTGAACTTACTGTTGAATATGATACTCATCAAGTACGACTCCAAATTAAAAGTGTGACCTTCCCTTAAGTGTGGTTCCAAGCCTGCAGATTTCACCCTCAAACCTCCAAGTGTGAACTCAACCTTCAAGTGTGATTTAAACTTCACCCTCTACCAAACCTTTCAATTCTCCAAGTGTGCTATAAGGGTGCGAGTGTGACTATCATAACCTTCTAGAATGACCTCTGCTGCCGAGTGTGTCTCCAGGGTCCTGAAAAGGTGTTAAAAGGACGAGCTCATATGTGGCTGGTCTTCTGTGCTGTGAGTATCATAATTATATAGTTCTTCGCTTAGTATTCATGAGGTATATTGACTCTATGCATATAAGATATACGTGTCTTTTTTCTTTGCCTTGATATCATTCAGTGTTTTTGTTGATTTTCGTTTTATTTACCTGGCTTTCTGTCTTTTTATGTGTTGAATTGTTGATTAAGGAATATGTTTATAAGCTGAATTTTTTACTTCATTTATATGTTTGATGTTATAGGATCGATTGGTACTTCGTCCTTCAAGTATGAGATCAGCTGGAGTTGGTACTTCAAGTATGAGTACGTCCTTCAAGTATGAGATCAGCTGAAGTCAGTGTGAAGGAGGACCAGAGACAGCCACATGAAGTCACATCTTCCTCGAAAGCAAAGGCACTTCACACTTAGACATGACACACTCAGAGACTTCAGAATCCAGCTTGGGATGGTTACACTTCGAGGATGAAACGTCACACTCGAAAGTGATGGATATTGCACACTGAAGGGTTAGGTTCTCACGCTTCAGAGTCATTCTGAAACATATCCCACTTCATGTTTATGTTACGGAAGTAGATTTATATGAAAATGTACGTCGACTAGATAAATATGTGTGTGTGTGTATGTGTGTGTGTGTGTGTGTGTGTGTATGTGTGTGTGTGTGTGTGTGTGTGTGTGTGTGTGTGTGGGTGTGTGTGTGTGTCACACTTAATGTTTATTATTACGAAAATGTATTCATATAAGAATGGAGGTAGACTAAATAGATATAATTAGAAGCAGGTAGAAATATGCAGATAGGTAGACTGGTGACTATGTAGCCCGATAAAGTGATACGTAAATTGATAAGATTTTGTGCATTAATACTTCTTAAATGCTGCAAGTTATATCATGTATTTTATCTGATTTACAATCTATGTATCTAGATTTTGACATTTTTCAGATATCAAATTACATCAAATGTTATTCATCCATACATCATCGCATCTATTTGTTATTTTTATTAATAAATTTGTATATTTTTGAGATTTGTATGATTGTTGGCTCTTTGCCCTCTATTTGTTTGATGTTGTATTATGATGATAGTGAATTAATGAATAAATCAGAACCGCAAAAGGGGAAGCAGAAAAATATTCACCTTTGAAATTAGTCATAAACAATATAACCATCATTATTATTCATTGATATTACCATTGTTATTATCATTATTGTTATTTATTATTATTGTTATTATTATTATTATTACCATTTTGTTATTATGATTATTATCATCATAAATCATTATTGTTATTATTACCATTATTATTATTACTATCATTATCATCATCAGTATCATTGTTATTATTATTATTAGCATCATCATTATTATTATCATTATTACCATTTTTATTATTGTTATTATCATTGTTACTACTACTACTACTACTACTATTGTTGTTATCATTATTATTATCATCATTACTATCATTATCATCATTAGACACTAATGATGATAAAAGGAATGATGCGTAAGACGCCAATTACCAATTAGAAATATAAATAATTAACAAAGATAAATGAATATTCAATTCCGATCTGATGGACCAAAATCTGTAAATAAATCAATGAAAATCCATAACAGACAGATACCAGATGTCAACCTTCATCCACCTCAAGAAAACTATTATCAAAACAGATGAAAAATAATAATCCTATTTTTAAGATCGCCGAAATGATAATAGAAAAACTGATAACGGTAAAATGTAACAAAAGATAAAATCACGAGAAAAAGATGGAATAAGTTTGATTTAATTGCTTTTTTTCTAATTTATATATATATATATGATTTTTTTTTTTTTTTTTTTTTTTTTTTTTTTGATTTTCGAGCGAAGAGGATGCAGGGATTTTATTTCGGATGGAGGAATATTGGCACTTGTGCAGGAAGGTTTGGATTTGAGTGTTTATGTATGCATAGAGGTATGCATATGTGCATGCATGTATTTTGTCGTTATTACATCTACATGCATACATATATATATGTATATATATAATATATAATATATATATATATATAGAGAGAGAGAGAGAGAGAGAGAGAGAGAGAGAGAGAGAGAGAGAGAGAGAGAGAGAGAGAGAGAGAGAGAGAGAGAGAGAGAGAGAGAGGAGAGAGAGAGAGAGAGAGAGAGAGAGAGAGAGAGAGAGAGAGAGAGAGAGAGAGAGAGAGAGAGATACATAGACAGATAGATGCACACACACACACACACACACACACACACACACACACACACACACACACACACACACACACACACACACACACACACATATATATATAGATACATACATACATACATACATACATACATACATACATAAATATATATATATATATATATATATATATATATATATATATATATATATTAATGTTTGCACACAAAAACACACACAGACATACACATACATACATACATACATATGTATGTATGCATGTATGTATATATATGCATATATTTATATATGCATATATATATATATATATATATATATATATATATATATACATATATATATTTATATATATATATATATATATATATATATATATATATATATATATATATATATATATATATATGTATGTGTGTGTGTGTGTGTGAGTGTGTGTGTGTGTGTGTGTGTCTATCTGTCTATGTATCTCTCTCTCTCTCTCTCTCTCTCTCTCTCTCTCTCTCTCTCTCTCTCTCTCTCTCTATATATATATATATATATATATATATATATATATATATATATATATATATATATATATATATATGTATATATGTATATATGTATATATATACATATATGACTCTACACTTCCTATTTCCTATTTAGCTATGCCGATTCCACCCCCCCCCCTTCCCTCTCTCCTCCGGAGGGCGAACGAACAGCGAGGGACAAGAGATGGCGACCAGCGCGCTGTGTCGGCCAGTCCCGTCGCTTCGATTATCTCAAAGTGGTGATTGATTGCGACGGCGGCCTGTCACTCGTACTGAATCTGTGAAATATG